CCCCATCTCATACACCACAGACTAGTGACCTAAATCGTAATAACCTTTAGTTGGGAAATACTGAATGGGGACTATTCTTCCAGTGTCATGATATCAAATGAAAAAATACAACTTGAAAATGAAATGAACACAAGTTGTTTTTATCAGATTATTTCCACAGAGAAGTTCATATAGAATTATTTAACTTTTCATGAGAAAGTATAGTACTACTAACAAGTAAATATAGTTCAAATCAGAGTATGGATGCATTATATTATAACCACTACAGTCCAGACACTTTTCTCGACTTTCGCGCGGCGAAGTCGCTGATGATGTCGCTGAAGTCCAATTCACGAAGTACATGTTTCTGACTCTATGCTGCTCTATATCGGTGGGAGGCCCCCTCTACTCTTGGTAGCGGGGCCTCGAATCCAGGCTCCTTATTGGGCCCTCCCCTTGATCCAGCGCTGGCTTCATCACAAGTGTTCAAACATGTCAAAGCTTAAATGACTGATGAGTTTTTTTAATAGTGTGTTTGTAAGCTTGAATAAGTAACGGTGTAATTAATCCTATCCGTATGCCCTGGGGTCATGTTGTACCCCTGGGGGTTGTATTCTTCACATTTTAGAATACTTCTAGTGTGAAGATCTCTTTGAAACTTTCAGTATTTCTCAAAAAATAATTTTGACAGACTTCTATGCAAAGCGTACTGATAAGATTAACGAGTAAATTTCCTTTTTGGAAAGTAGAGTTCACCACGTCGTATGGATACGATAGTAATACACAATGTACTGATAGGGTTAATACATCAGTACTTATTTATTTGATTGTAAACAGTTCTATTGTAAGCTTGAATAAGTAATGATGGAATTAATACTTCAATAGTTATTTGCTTTGATTTTAAACAGTTCTATATCAGTAATAGGTTAAGTCAATATGTTTGTTTGAACACATGAATCTTGGGTTAGCATTCCTATACCCATGAAGGATGCAATCAGAAGAAAAGAGGAATGTTCAATGCTGGTTGCAATCGGAATAAAAAGATGCAATCAGAATAAAAGAGTACTGTCCAATGCTGGTTGCTTCTACAAATACAAAACTTTCCGGAAAATATGTTTCTCTCCTTCTAGGTATTATCATCTTCTGCAGGATGCGGCCGCCCAACAATGACCTCCACTCTGTTCTATCTGTTGTTTTCTGTATCCCGGTGATCTCTTCTGCTCTCTGATTTCATCTTACGAGCTTCTCTGTAGGATGGTCTTCCTCTTGATCATTTTCCTGTTTAATTGGTCTCCATTCAGTGCATCTTTTTATCCTTCTGTTATCCTTCATGCTACCAAAGTGACCAGATAATTTCCATTTTCTACCGGAGTATGAATTTGGAGTTATCTTCCACATGGTAGAAAGTACTAAAACATTAAAACTTGTAAAATCTGTTTAAAAGATTTTTCCTCTACTTTTTTTCTCTCCCATTTCCAGACATACTACACGGCTGTTGACCCAGCTCACGTAGCGGACATGCTGGCAGGTAATTCCAGAGTTGTTTCAGCGTAATAAATTTTGATGAAACGACGGTTGCTTTCTTCATTGCCCGATGAGTTCTTCATCATCTCAGGGGTCTCAACTTGTTGTTTTTGTTGTAATTTAGGATATTTAATATGTAAGAAAGGAAGGAAAGGAAAATGGATTGGTAATGATAAAGAATGACGTCAAGCTGTGATATCATGAAATCACAGCGGATGTTTCCAGTTATTCGAGTGTTCAAATTTTCATTTCAGCAGATTTTTTTTTTTTTTTGCAGTGGAATTTGGGATTTGTGTAGTCATAAGAAGTTTTTAAAATCTTATCACTGAAAACTTGAAAATTTTATAGTCTAATTATGTCCATTTTTTGTATGTGCATAAGTGTGTGTGTGTGTGCTTGTTTGTGTCATGATAATCAAAGAGAGCCAGAGAAAGCGCGAGAGAGAGAGAGAGAGAGAGA